TGACACAGACCAATTCATCCACGACTTTGTATGAAAACTCTCCAAGACTGAAAATATATGTGTGCGTGAGTGTGTTGTTTGATACTCTTGTCTTTGTCCAGGAACCTTCAGACTGATAGCAAGGGTATAAGTGTATATCAGTGGGTGTGCACATTTTTGTTGTGTCTCCTGATGGGTGTTTTCTTAGCAAAGACGAGGGGTTGGCAGTGTGCATAAGACTTATTCTTGACTTTTCTTTTTTTTCCAAAAAAAAAAAAAAAAAAATACAGTACCTGCTCTTGTTAGAGGAAAGTCAGGAAGAGTATTGATTCACTTTCACACTCCTTAGAGATCAGTGTATAGAGCAGGTGAACTGTTTATACTCTGTACATGGTTGCGTAATGCGCGTGGTTGCATCTACTGTGCTTTTGCTCTCTGATGCCTGTCAACCAGCGGGGTCAGAGGAGGATTGTGCTTTAAATTGGAGTCAATAATGACCACTATACGTGTAATGACTCCAGGGAAGCTGCAAACTAAAAGGTGAGGTCAAAGACAGGTTTATAAGAAACCTGCATCTCAGGGTTATGAATGCCATTTTGGCATTTCAGCTCCAACTGACCACCTTTCTTAAAAGCCATCATCTCCCGCACTAAGAATATGAGCAACTGAGCATGTCGAGTGCCATTTTGGATCCATTGACCTTTCAGTTCACACTCTGACTGGCAGTGGTGTGACCCCTTGATATGAAGCATGGCCCATGTACAAGTACTTGTGAACGATAATATGAGTTTTATGGACACGACTTTCTGTGTACTGCAGACCAATCTGTGATTTTCCAAACCTTCCTTTCTCTCTTAGAAAAAAGAAATTCAGTGCAACAGTGCAATGAAGACACAGTCTAATCATCTGCTATATTAGTCATCCATCATGATTAAGTGCCTGCAGTAACCAGTAAATCATTTCTTAGTGATTCAAAACTTGCTCCGTAGATCATAAAAAGCTAATGCAAAGAGAGTCACCAAATCTTCACCAACTGCACCAACCAAATTATCAAAGAGCAGAATACAGCATGCAGTACTGTTAAAAGTTCTCTATTATGTATCCTATTCTCTGTATTTTTGATTAACCAACTTTAGAAACACAGTCATCAAGTCACAAGATACAGGTTTGTTATAACTCTGTGTACATGTGCATTAGGCAATATAGGCAAAATCTTCTATCACGATATACTGTATGTAATTTTATATTATGATAATAATATGTATCATGATGCGTAATTGTTCTGTAAATTCAGTTAAGAAATGATTTAAAACAGGGACAGAGTGGGAATAGAAACTGGCCCGGGACTTTTGACTTGGACTGGTCCACCTGTAGGTGACGGCCACACAGAACCACCGCAGCCTGCTTCACTGGACAGATCACCATGCACAGTGCTATTGAGCTCTCCCCTTCTTGCTCTGTCTTGCTCCCTCCCTCTCTCTCCTTCTCCCTCTCTCTAAAAGTTGCAAACGTACACGCAGTAGTCGTCAGAGTTTATTTAAAGAACCTAACGCGACGGCCTACATGATCTATTTTTGAAATCATTGTGTTTCCCGATTAGCCACTCCATCCCTGGTTTAAAATAACCATAATGCACTGTCCACACAACATAAGTCACACCCTTTTTAGTAACAAGTTCTTCTCCCATATCCTGGGTTGGTTGGGGTGCCTCCTGCTCTGTATTTACAATTTTATTCTCCTCCTCCATTTTTTCCTCGCCATCTCCGCCTAAACCTAGTCTTGAGTATTAAGGTGAAGCCTCCAGGTACAGATACTGTACTCAGCTTATGCTTAATATGAACAATACGGTTGACAATTGGTTCAGTAGCCCTCCTGCAGAGTGAAAGGCTGTCATCTTTCTGACATTAATATGAGTTTTGCGGGTGCCATTTTAGATCTAATTGTCTGGCTATAGCATTAATTGTTATGACAGAAGGATGAAACTGTCAGCTCTCTTATCACTTTGAAGACAGCGATTACACTCTTTCTCTCACTCTCTTTTTTATTGCTGTCTTTTTTTTTTGCTGTCATTCTTATCTCACAGCTCCTATCTCCCTCTTACTGTCTTTCTTCTTCTCTGTGTCTGTGTCTTTCCCTCTGCTGCTCTATCTGTCTTTGCTTGGGGAGTCTCCGTACAAAATGCAGCGGACATGATGAAGATGCAGACATTAACCTCTCTCGATAAGAAAGGAGATAAATAGGTGTGTGTCTGTGTGTGTGTTGCTGAAATAACAGAAAGATAAAGACGTCACAGTAAGTAGTGTTGTGTGGCTGTCCCTGAGGACAGAAGAGGAACACAACCCCCGGCCTTATCAATCTGCCATGTCTGTTTTCTCCTCTCCTGTGGACATTTTGCATGTTTGCTGGGAATTTGGCTGCGAGAGAGAAAGGAAGGAGTGAGGATGGATGTACTGTAAAGAATAAGATTTTAAAGAGACAAGACAGTTTAGCTTGGATTTTTTATTTCTTTGTCCTTTGAGGTTTAAGGGATAATTCTGATTTATTACAACTTTGTTTCTATCAGTTATTATAACATTTAACAGTGGACAGTGACCTGATAATGTTAGAATCATACAGAGATATGTAGAAAAAGGTTATGCTCTATATCATATCCTGAATATGGTTAAAAAATGATAATACGTGACATGACATGGTAGTTGTGTGCATACTACAAACTGGCAGATGATGGCATGAAATGGAACAGAAGCTGAATAAATATGAAATAATAGAATATTATAAAATTATTATATTATATATATATATATTCCAGGGAAAAACACACAATCACACACACACTGTCCTTCTCAGACACGCAAACATACACTCACACACACACACAGCCGTGCTCCTGAGCCTCATCTTGGCAGTGCCCTCTCCATATGAACTCTCTGCCAATATGATTCTATCTCTCCTTCCTCACATCTCCATCCATCCATGCTGTCGTTCTCTCATCTCCCCCTCCACCATCATCCTCACTCTCTCCACTCCTCCACTCCTCGGTTGTTTGTTTTGGCAGAGCTTTAACCAAATCACACAGGAGACTTTAACTGGCACAATACGTAGCTCCCATTCCACCTGATGCCCTCCTCTCCTTCCCCCGTTCTCTCCTCTCCTCCCCTCTTTCTTCTTTGATTACTCATCCTGAAAAACAACTTGTGAAAAGGATTCATTTTGATTATTTTTTTGTTATAACATGGCAGGGTTAGTGAGAGACCAAGCTGAAAGTGAAAATTAGGGCTTCAGGGGCATTCACTCACTGTTACGCTGTATGTTTTTGGCTACTTGGTTGTTGTCCCTTTGACTCAGACATGGGGACTCTTGTCTTTTCAGTATAAGTCTGACCACACTGACTTGCAAGTCTGACCACATTGATGTGTCCATGTTTGAAGCGTTTTCTTAACATAAGACAGTCCATTATTTATTTTATCTTATGTCTCATGTTTTCCATCTATGGAGCTTGGGCCTAGAGCAGGCAAACGGCGGAGCATACGCTGTCTTTTGTTTGCAGTAGAAAGAGGATTGTGAGTTTGAAGATGACTGATGCAGGAATATTTTCTCTCATTATGGGGTGTTGTTTTGCTCGTGTTATTAGGGCAAGAAGGAACATAACTACACATAATTATCCCCACTTGCCAAGTGAATGGCAAGCGAGTGGAGTTGTTCAAAGTGGCCGCAGAGCAGCTTCAAGGACGATGGCATGCAACTCACTAATTGGGTTGGGGACAACATGGATGGCGTTTTGGTAGGCTGGGGGCTTAGCTAGGTTGGCTGTGGTTGGGGACCTCACTGACCTAACTGTGAAGGTCTTAAACTGAAACTTGGTTCGCACTTGTACAGAAGTACAACAACATAAACACAAACACACAAACACACAGACATACACACATACGTGTACACACAGAGGGAGAGGGCTGTGAAGTCTCTTGAGGAGACAGTGTTAATCCTATTGACAATGGCTTGTCTGAACAGTGGCCTGAAGAGAGATGAGGCTAATTCTCTTTATGAGGACAATAAACCCACAGGTCACTAAGGCCAAACACTCATGTACACACACACAGACACACACATATACACACACACACACACACACATATATATATATATATTTAAACACACACAGGCACATCTGTAGCTTCCTCCTGGAGTTTAGTCCCAGTTCAGTAGATCAAAAGTATAATAATACAGCATCACACCTCAGTGTAATTGTGCTGCATCTAAAGTCTGCTTCAATCCTCTCCTGTAAAAAAATATGGCTCAGGAGATTTCATTGTCTCTGATGGAATTTGACAAAGTGATATTGACAATGCAGCTTATATTCTGAGAATAAGGAGGGAAACGTAATATTGTTTCACTCTCTCTTGCTGTTATTGTGATATATTGCCAGTCACCGAGATATTTACACCCGTCTCTCTGCCTAGTTACTGTCCCATGCCAGAATAGGTTATCCAAGGCAAAGAAAACAATATTACATTTCTTATTGAAAAACTGCGATCCTTCACCTTTTATCCTTTTGAAACACACACACACACACACACACACACACACACACATAAACAGGTTTTTGTGTGTCAACAAATGTGCTCAGAGGTCTGACATTCACACAGATTCACACATAATGAAGCCAAAGATAAATGCACATGCAGTGCTGAAGCTGTTTTTAGTAGATCACTAAAATCACAGGTATGATCCAGGTACATTAAACAAGTTGTGCAAATGAATTTCATTCAACATGCAGCTGCTAGTTGTCAATATAAATCACATTAATGCGACAAAAGCCTCAAACAGTCAATGACTGAACGATTAATCACTTGTAATGGGAAGGAGCTTGGACTGTTTTGCAGCACAACTGTTTGTGTTTGTGTTTTTGCTGTACATTTCTGTGAGGGACACAAAAAAAAAAAAACAGTAGGGTCATGATTGTTCTCTTTCTTGAAAGGAACTTACAAGTTTTTTGTTTGTGTCTGTCTCTGTTTGGTTCCCAGATGGGACCCCCTACACGTGGTGGGTGGGCCGGGGCAGCGAGAAGCACTTCTACTGGGGCGGCTCGGGACCTGGCATCCAGAAATGTGCTTGTGGCATCGACAGGAACTGCACTGACCCCAAATACGACTGCAACTGCGACGCCGACCTCACACAATTGTAAGTCTGTCTATCATGTACACATTCAGCAGGGGCACAAACAACTTGTGTGTATGTATTGATTAACTTCTTCACAGTTTTAGTTTTGCACTAAAGTCTGCAGAAACAGATGGCAGTAAAAGGTTTTCAGTCACACCAAGTCCACCCACTGCATTGGAGCATATCGGGTTACATAGGGACGTTCATAGAGCTAAGTCAGCACATCTATTTATTCATGTCAATCTGCTGTGCATTTGGCTTAATGCTCCTTTGAGTATCCAGCTGTATCCATCTTAACTCAGTTTTGTTCCATCAATAATGCCAAAATACTTTTGGTTTATCAGAGGTTTTATAGCACATATACTGTTTAAAAATCATGCTTAAAGAAATAGTGTCTGAAAATTGACAGCTTGCTAAATTTAGCATGTGCCTTTTTATCCTTTCCAAACCCCAGAAATGAAGGATGAAAGTGTAAGGAATGGGTGGAATAGTGTGCATATCTCTTTAACTAGGTTGCTAGTAGGAGGCTAGTGGTACATCCAAGTCAAGAGTTAACATATCAGTAATGAACTATTGCCACATTATTGCGAGGGATTACAGATTACATAAAAAAAAATGTCCAATGTCCAATGTGTAGCATTCTCAGACCAGAAATAACAGTTAGGGCTAACGTGGGTTTTTACAGCAAAACTCATTAAGTGAGATAGTGTTAAGTTTGTCAAACACACTGGTTAGTCTTCATCCTCAAAGCCTTTTCTCTTCTAAAACTGGAACATACTGTTTGAAAATACAAACTATAATGCATAAATCTAACTTCTGTATTGCTTATCCAGGTACTGAATGTTATTCTGTAGTAAATTAAGCGCTCCGACAGGATTATGTTGGAATAAAATAGCAGTCTGTTGTTTTTATATATACCATACTTGGCTATTTCTTCCCTGCAAGAACAATACCACTGCTTTATATCCATGTCTTCTATGTAAGTCATCAACTGGTGGGAAAGCAGACTTTTTGCCTGTAAGACGTCATCATAGCCTTGACATTTGCATGATATCCTGTATATCGCATTCAAGAGCGTATTAAGCCAGTCAGACTGAGTTTTCAACCATTTCACAAAGTTAACACTATTTAATTAGTTAATTAGCTACAGTTGATCAAACTTGCTCACAAAAGTTGTCATTTCTGTCGTTGATAAACTTGACTCTTGCTGGCTAGAAATGAAAGGCTGTTTTCATCTACATATGACTGAAATCAGCAATATATTGTTGTGTTAGAATCACTGCGAACTGCACCCAAGGATTTTCTCACCTGATCAGAGGAACTGGTTGAACTTCTGTTTTACTTTCACAATATTAAATAAGTACTGTCATTCAGACATGCAGCTGTTTGTAAAATATTCTCAATTTAAAATTAAATTATAAAGGTCACGATGCCTGTTACATTTCATAAGTACATGTTTTTTTGCAGATATATTCATTTTAGTTGACATTCACACATACATATGAATCCCTTTATAACTGCTACAAAGAAGTCAAGTTTTATTTATATAACCCAATATCTCAACTCACAAATTTCCCTCAAGGGGCTTAACTGCACAACAGAACATCTTGCCTGAAATCAAGATGATTGCATTGCTATGTCAACTGAACTTAAAAGTGAAATGTCATACCCATGGCAGTTGACACACACACAGTTTCACTGTGCTGAAACTGAAATGGTCACCACTGCTATTGCTAATGTGTGCGTTGATCTACAAGCTCAGGATCTGCCTAAGCTGGACAGTCTGATGATGTGTCTTGCTTCAAATGCTGAGGGGGGTTGAATGATGAATGCCACCGTCAATGATGCGTTTATTTAAAAGGGAAGTTTGCCTCCAGAACCAGTTTGTGTTTTACAGCTCTTTAAGCTAGCTGATGGATATTCTCATTAAACCAACTGCATCATTGTCTGTGGGTGTGTGCATGTGTGTGTGCAAACTGTATGTGAGTAATTACTGTGTGTTAGCAAGAAGGAGAGATTTCATTCGCTTTCATGTCTCCTGCCTCATCTCTAAAACTGATGAGATTACAAATAAGTCTTACTCTGCCTGGTTCTCTCCATTAATAATGTATGCATTAATGTCTCATTGTTTGGCTGAGCGAGTTTTCGAAATATCACCCATATAACTCTATTTCCACTCATTACCCTTATTTTTGGCAGCACATGGAAAAACACACATGCACGCACACACAAACACACATTCATGACACACATATGCTTGCACACATGCTCACTCATGCACACATACATACACACAGCCACTAATGAGTTCTCTCACCGTTCATTTCCAAATTGTATTGAATGACAAATAATTAAAATCAAATAGTTCTGTGAATAATTTAAAACATGTCAAACTCAAACTCATTACCGCTTTGAAAGCTGGAATTTAAATATTTAATATTCCTCCTCTTGTCTGTTGTGATGTTGTCAGTGGACTTGTTAATGTTCTAGCAAGAGAAAGTAAAGAATTATTTTATTTAAGTATGCTTGTATTGATATATTGGTTTTATTGGTTCACACTTGTTCTCATCCATACATTGATTTAAAGGTTTAATGGGCTTTGTAACTTTTCTGCATTAAAATGTCTAAAAACAACTAGACATATATACTTTGTTGAGTGGTGTACTTACATTATCCCAAATGTTTCCAGCAATTTATCAAACTCAAGAGAATAGTTTTCAAACTCAAGAGAAATCTGTGGTTTTAATCATTTGGTCGCCTGTAAATGGTGTCATATCCCCTATACATGTGCATCAGCGTTGTGGTTGTCTGCACAAAGCAGTCAAAATTGACTAGTATATATTTTAACCGGATGAAGGATTTTAGTCGAGCTAAGCAAAGGTTTGCAGCAGCTCGGCTCGCAGCCCCTCCAAGACATCCTATGTCCACTGAACAGCACTGGAGAAAGATTTTTAACATGAATCTGCTTCATTCCGTTTTTTTTATGCAGAAATTACAGATGAAAAAAAAAAACAAAGTGAAGAGACTAAACAGCATTCTCTTTTTCCCTCTGTCTGTATGTGTCTTTCAATCCATCTCACAGGAGAGAAGATTCTGGACTCCTGATATATAAGGAACACTTACCAGTCAGCCAGATTGCCGTAGGTGACACTAACAGACCGGGATCTTTGGCCAAGCTGACTGTTGGACCACTCCGTTGCCAGGGAGATAGTAAGTGTTATGCTATGGATAAATATGTTCTGTACTATGAAGTTGCAGCTCTTTATATTATTTTGATTAATGGGCAGCATGTAATGTAACCACATTGACCTCCAGAATCAGAATTCACACTTGTGAAGATGATTGTTGATATTTGAGTTGTATGTGAGCCACAAGGTTAATGATGGGAGGATAGGGGATTAATCAATTATCAAAACCGTTGCCAATTCATTTTCCATAGATCAACTCATTAATCAATCACTTCTTTAAGAAAAAATCTTAAATTTGTTGGTTCCTCTGGTTGTTGGTTGCACTGTTGCCTCACAGCAAGAAGGTTCGGGGTTCGAACCTTGGTTTGTTCATGCTTTGTGTGTGGAATTTAAATGTTCTCCTCGTGCTTGCGTGTGTTTCCTCTGGGCACTCCAGCTTCCTGCCACAGTCACAGACATGCAGGTTAATTGGAAACTCTAAATTACCCGTAGGTGTGACTGTGCATGGTTGTTTGTGTCTATATGTCAGCCCTGTGATAGACTGGCAAACTGACCAGTGTGTACCCTGCCACTCACCCAACCCAGCGACCCTCAAAGGATAAGCAGTATAGCGAATGGATGGATGGTACCAGCTTCTCCACTGTGAGGATTTGAATTTAAATCAGTTTATCAGACCAAAAAAAATCAATTTGAAGATGTTACTGAGAGGAAACTCTGATGGGAATTTTCACAATTTTCTTACATTTTATAGACCAAATGCTTAGTCAGTTAATTGAGAAAATAATCTGTATAGTAATTGATACAGAAAATAGTTATTAATTACAGCCCTTATACAGTCAGTGACATACAATAAGTAGTTTTAGTGTAAGTATTGTTTTTGATTAGAATGTGCTCTATGCTGTTAATAATATAAGTTTGGGGGATTTAGTATAAAGACATTACAAAAGTGTGACATATTACACAATAACAATAGAATTAATTCATCAGCTGATGCTGAAATAAATTTGTATACACTGAACTGAACTCATTTAGCTCATTTAAGATCATCCACAATATTGGAACCTTATGGAGACTTGGTCCCCGTGAGTCCAGAGTGCGGAACAGACAGCACAGTTCTACACACGGATATCAAGTTGTGCTCTGATTCAAAAGAAGTTAAAAGGTCAGTAATGCACACAGGAGCTAAATCACACTGTGCTTCAGAGTTACCAGCAAGATCTTAAAAAGAAGTTCAAACTTTAAAAGGAGTCTGCACAGGAGGATGGAAACTGGTTTGAGCATTTCGGATTAGCTGCAGGTATAAAAAGGACCTTTGAGTGAGGCAGGAGGACTGCAGGTTATTAAGAGGAAATGTGTGCATTAATGACCTTCTCCATGTCAGCTACTGAGAGGATAGGTTTCATTTTCAAAATAATTTGCAGCTTGTTGTAGAGGCATGACTGCATAACCTTTGTGAAGGGCTCATCAAAGGTTGAATCAAGAGAACACCTCCAGTCTCTTTATCATGGCCCTTATTAAAATTCTCCAGTTGACATTGTGTGTAGCTTTTGAAAAATCGGGGGGAGCTAAAGGACTTTTTTAATTTGAGGTTTAGTTGTAGGAAATTCCTGGACAAGCGGTCAATGGTACATGAGCAGACTTTTGAAATCCATGTGAAAGGTAGACATGATATTATAATTTTACCATGTGGAAGAATTTATAGAAAAGCTACGGGAGCAATGAGGAGGACACACCTTGTGATTTCTTGCATTAATTTCAACCTTAAACTTAATTTTCATCAAAACAAGGACACTTTTAATGTACTGATATTTAGATTATTATCAAAGATATTGGGGCTGGAGATAGAACCTAGCCTAGTGTTAATCATTTTAGGAATATTGGAAAAGCTGAACTCTGAAGGAAGAACTCTGTTGTTTTGTTGTTCATTCTCTACTTGGTGTTGTGAAGATTTTCTTTGTGGGTGATTGATAAAGAGTCTATTTCAAGGATATTGTTTGTGATATGCTAGCTAAGATGCCTGTTCAACCATTGTAGTGTTTCTGAAATGCCAACACATTGCTGAAACTAAATCTTTTGTTCCAAGAAAGTCATTTGTGACCTGCAGAAGGGCTGTCTGCTATGCAGGGAAGCAGCCCTAAAACCTGACTGGAGTGTTTCCAAAATTCAATTAAAACTGAATAAATTAGCAGTGATAATATTGCATTCTCAATAACCTATGATTGGCATGCCAGTCAGGAACATTGGGCCTCATTCACCAATATCTTCTTAAGTATTTTCTTAAATTCTTTCTTAAGTTATTCTGAAGAAAGTTCTTAAGAAAACTCTACGTCAGATTCATGAACGTGTTCTTAAACTGCAGAATTGTGCGTCTTCTTAAATTGATGAATGCCAATCTCCTCGTAAATTGAAAGTTTGTGCCAGTTGGCCCTAATTAGCATATGTAAACGCCCGAAAACACCCTTAAAAGGGCCTGAGACTGAAGGATCATGTGGAGAAAGGGCCTGCAGTCACAAGGGAAAGTTGAGAAAATGCCAAAATGAAAATCTAAAGACAGAGCAACAGAATCAAAACGCAAAAGGAACTTTAGTAGTTCTGTGGAGGTACTGCTGCAGGAAGAGAGCCGCAAACAAGTGGTTAAGTGTTAATGTAGTGTTCATTTATTTCAAAAGACCATAATGCTTTGTAAAATAACAAAGTTTTTTTTTTTTTTAAATATTATACATGCCAAAAATATTATTGTAATTTGAATGATATAATATTATATAACTGTAGAACGGAAGAAAACGCAATAACCAGTTATTTTGCTCAAACATGTCAGCACTCAAATGTGCGTAAAAGTACTTTTGAGTGTGCGTAGATTCTGTTCCTACCTAAGAACAAATCCAAATAAGAAAACATTGGTGAATGTCAGAATCTTCGTAAAAAGTACGTAAATTGGTTTTAAGAATAAATTTCTTCTTAAGAACATAAGAGGTACTGGGTTTCAAAAGATACATCATCTTGTTTGAAAGTCTGCAAGATAATGTAGGACAGCATTTTCAGGGTTTTGGACAATGCCCTGTGTCCTACCAAAAGTTGTGAGGCTCCTGTTTCTCCTTAATCTCCTGACAGTCTGCTTGACTCAACCTTTCATAATGCATTTTCTGTACCAAGTGAAAATTACTCATAAAAACCAAGTAAATGTCAGTGGTCTCCATTACTATTGATGTATTCACAAATGTAATAGAGGGAAACTGAAAGGATTTTGTAATACTGGTGGACAAAGTGCGAGGCATCTTAAAATGATAGCTGGCTACATTTATACACTTACATTTAAATTACTACTTGAATTGGCCATTTTAAGTGACAGCTGCATGGTGTGCAATTCACTGCAGCTGCAAAGGCAGGAAAACAGAAAACTTGGATGCTATTTACTCATTAAAACATTTTCATTTCAAGCAAGAATATACACAAAATGGTTAATGATATGATGATTGTCACTCTCTTTTTTTATCTACATCTCTGTAACCGTTAGTTGGGAAGCCTCTGACTGCAGTCAAGTATATATGGTCTACTGCTGCACATTTCAACAGTGTGGAATCAGCCAGTCATGGATATCTAGATGTTTTCTGGCACATTCTGTAAAGATTTTCAAGTACTGTAGCACAAAAGCCATCCCAGCCTGCAGTAAAAAATGCCCCATCTCTGCCATGGTTGAACCACAACCGCAGTATTTATCAATAGGTGCCGCTCAGCTTACACACATCCAAGCATTGGCAAACCCACAATCAAACCCACCCACTGCATTTCTTTAAGGGTGATGGAAAATGGACAAAAGTAATTCTATAGATCAATGAGGTGTTGACAATAATTAAAATCGTGGAGTTTACTATAGTACGAAAAAGCAAACTAATAAGTGTCACTGTGGCGTAGTCACACAGTAGCCCATAGGCTACTTTTATCTTGAATTAAAGAAGTGGTAACTTAAACAACCATCACATTTCAAAAGGACTGTTGTGCAGGGGTTGATGGAAGTGAGAGCTGGTTCATGTTCTTATTGTTTATATGTCTTGTCTGTCAAGTCAGGGACCATTTCAGTCCGACATCTTGGATATGACACTCTTTTTTTTATTCACAATTCTGGTGTAAAATCAATAAAAAAGATTTAAGAAAAAAATGGCACCCAGTATCGACAACTTGTACAGGTGTCTAAACTAGCAGCAGCATCTAAAAAAAGAGAGAGTGAGAGAGAGTACTTTGGTCTTAATTATCTTCACTGTCCACATGTGGAAGAAAATGTTGCCTTTCTTCTTCCCTAATCCAAGTGGAAATGAAGCATTATCGGTATGTCTGTACAATACTGTCAGACGTCGTTAAATAAACTTTTTAGAAAGTAAAAAAAAACTTTGAACGTAAGAATGTTCTGTTGGTGGTTTGGATGGGGTCTTAATTAAAAACTATCGTGAGAGAGAACAAGAGAAAAGACTTGATGCGTAGCAGAGTACAATGACGCACATTGTTATTCTGGAGTTGCACTCGAGGCCTGTGTAAAAATAACACATTTAGAATATTCACATTGTGGCGATCATTCAGAGAAACAGTTGCCTTTTGTTGCCTTGACTGTTCTGTTGTGGAAAATAACTTTGTGTATGTTTTTGTGCACTTATACATGTGTGTTCTTGTTTGTGTAGGCACAAGCATCTGTGCTAATGTATGCACATGTGGCCAGATAAAACGGTGCATAAAGCAGTATCTGAACTCTAGTTAGAGACTTTCCATCTAAACACTCATCCTCTCATCCTTTTATTCTCTTCCATCCAGTCCCTGTAGTTCTGGTTGTTTCTCTGGCAAACAGCAGATAGCAGATACTGCAGAAACACAAATACACATACATACACTAAGAAGCAGTTTAATCCCTGCTGTTTCTCTCCCCGTCTACTCCTCTAATCATTGTTGGCACACAGCTCTCTGTGGGACATTGGGTCAACTGTAAGACACACGGATTCTGAAGCTCTATCATATTGACCGCCTCTCTTTCCACAC